GTAAAATTAGCTGTGCTATCTTATCAGAGGGAGTAATGTTACAATAAGAGAGACTGGAAACCATAATTTTAATTTGTCCTTCATAATCAGAATCTATTACACCAGGATGAACAGTTAGACCTTGAGATGTAATACTAGAGCGACCCATTAGGAGTCCTAAATATCCTCGAGGCAGGGGTCCCCAAACCTATGTTGCTATAAGAAAAACTTTTCCTGCCTCATCTATTATAGCCCCTTCTGCTAAGGGTAAATCTAGACCTACACTCCCTTCCATGCTGCTTTTAAATCATTGACTCGAAAACGTTGCTGTTTGGAGTCTATGCTGTGGTCTCCACACTCCACACTCAGGGGCCCTCTGGATTTTTCAGGGTGCAAGAGCTCTCGCTCCTCTTCCCATTTCCCAACATAGGGTTGCCTTGATTATTAAATTGAGATCTGCACTGCTTAGCCCAATAACCACCTTTACCACAGCGGGGACACTTTCGGGTTGGAAATTTAGTGTTGGCATTTTTGTTTTTTAAACTGTGATGGTCCTTCTTAAAATGTCCTGGTTTACCACACCCAAAACAGGTGGCAGTGGATGGACGGAGAGCTGCCGCTAATACTTGTGCCTTATGAGTTTCTGTGCCAACACTTTGACATGCTGTAATCATTTCAGCTAAATTAAGATTCTGTGCCTTTAAGGGGGCTAAAACAGCTTGACAGTCAGCATTAGCATTTTCGTAAGCAAGCTGGAGACAAAGAACTTCAGCCGCTTGCTGATTATCTACCTGTCGGGAAATGGCCGTTTGGAGGTGGTTGATAAAATCAATGTAAGGCTCATTTGCCACTTGGCGAATAGTGGCGAATGAGCCAGTGGGTGTTCTGGAATCAGGGATTTTACTCCAGGCTTTGGTGGCAGCATCGGAGGCTTGACTGAATGCTTGCCTATTCATCTGACTCTGGGCCTGGGGAGTGGAATGATTCCCAACACCCAGAAGCATGTCAAGACTAACCGGGATATTATGGTTAAGATTGTCCATGGCATAAAGGTTACAATGTTCCTTGTATACGTGACTCCATACGCTAAATTGAGCAGGGGTTAAGACTGTTCGCATTAAAACGTTCCAATCCCAGGGTGTCATCTCACAGTTTTGTCCTATAGCTTCTACAATTCCTTTTGTAAAGGAACACTGTAAACCATTCTCTACCATGCTTTTACGGAGTTCTTTAAAAACTTGAAAGTCAAGGCCATCGTGATGGGGTGGTCCTGATCCCCGAATGACAGGATAAGCAGAAAACCCCTCTTTCTCACGGCCCTCCCGCAAACATCTTTCCATAAGAGACTCAGGTTGAGAGAAATCAGCCTTGGGAGGTGTGGAAAGAGGAGGGTCATAAACATTTTCTTTACTAGGGGAGGGAGCAGAAGGAGCTGCCTGTAGGGGCTATA